GGACAATTACTGTTACAGACCAGATTGGAGGAATGCCAGGATATGTCCAACAGAGTAAGCACGCTGATGTCTCTTGCACCAACATGAGATATGAGGATACACCTTCCAAGAGATGGGTTTAACGGAGTCTGACAGACCCCTTTCCCTCAGGATTCTGACCTCAACAGCCAAGCTATATGGCCAGCAACCGAGAAGCACGATGGAACACCAGATCCTTAGACAAAATTCACAGTCCAGAAAAGACGGTGAAAATCCACCTACAGGCTGAGAACGTCTGCATACCTCACTCTTCGTGTTTGCAGCCACCAGGATCATCAGAATTCCTTATGACCTTATTCAGCAAATGAGGGAGGAGCTTCAACAGAGGAAAGGCATAGATCAGAGAGCTCATCCCACATTGTCATACAATGTGAACACTCATGGATCCCTGGACCGGGACACAAACCTGTCCACTTTGTTCAGTCTGGATGACAGAAGGTCCACATACGGCATGTCCCAGCAACAGCAGATTTCATGAAACACCTCAGGGTGGAGACCATTCTTCGGAGTTCAACATCTGTCTGCTGAGGAAGTCTGCCTGCCAATTTTCCACTCGCAGAATTTGAACTGCGGACAAGGACGTAACTTGTATTTCTGCCCAAGCCAGGAGATCCGCTTCTCTTTGCACTGCACGACTCCTTGTTTTGCCTTCACGATTCACATAGGCCCCTGCTTTGTCAGACTGCACCTAAACCAGCAAACCGCAAAGGAGACCTGTCCAATGCAGCAGGGAGAGACAAATGTCTCTCAATTTCAGCATGTTGATGGACTGCCATAACCAACCAATCAGGTCCCCTGTACTGTCGCTGATTTGAGGACCCCTGCCCAGCCTACCAGGCTGGCGTCCGTACCATCCACCAAAGCAGAAGGAAGGACTTCCCAGTTTTTACAGCCAGAAGGGAAATCCGTCAAAAGAGTGATATTCTTGCAGTGGCTGACAAATAGGGCGATCCAATGATGGGGTCTGTCTGCCCCACGCTGACAGGATGCCCCAAGACTCGTCAGGCGAGTTTGACCGAGAGCCGATCCCAGGACTGGAGATCCTAAGCTTGCACTGGCTGGTGTCTAAGAAGAAGCCTAAAGACTCTAACCTGTGTGTTGGATCCAAGGGGGACTTCTGCAGATTCAGAACACATCCAAACATTCCACCGTTCGAATCACTGTGCAAAGACCCTCCAACAGCATCTGCAGAGTTGGCCTTTAGGAGCAGATCATCTAGGTAACCCACAATGTGATGTCCCCGAGACTTGAGAAGGGCAAGGTTTGAAGCTAATACTTTGGTAAATACTCTAGGCGCTGTAAAAAGGCCTAAAGGAGCTACAAACTGAAAGTGAATGTCCCCTAGTACGAAACACAGAAAGCACCAGGGAGGAGGAAATACTGGCACATGCAGATAGAATCCTTGATGTCCACCTCCAGGAATTCCCCTTGCCGAGGAGAGGTCATGACCGAATGAGTCGATTCCATATGAAATGTTTGTATCCACAGGAACCGATTCAAGGTCTTCACATCAGAATAGGTCAAGACCCAATCTCCCCCCTGGCTTGGGAACTGTGAACAGATTGAAGAAGTAAAACCCCAGAAATATCTCACAGGCACTGGGATTATGAGGACACCCAACAACAGTAGCTATTGCAAGGCACAATTCAGATCCACCTTCTGCTAAAAGGAAGAGGGAAGTTTGGGAGGACAAGTTAAGAATTTGACCGTGTACCCATGGCAAATGAAGGAATGGACCCAAAAACCTTAGACTTCTCTCTCCAAAACTGTTGCAAAGCCTGACAGACGCCCCTTCATGGTAAAGGTTTTTGAACCGGCTTGGGGGACCTGGGATTGTGTCTAAACTGGGCGCTGGTCTTTGTCCGTAAAGCAGAGGTCTGTGAGGGGCAAAAAGAACTCTGCCTAGAAGAGTAGGCTTGGATGGACTTTGACTTCTGGTTGCAGGGCAATAGAGTGCTCTTAACACCCGTGAACGTAACAAAAGCATCCAGCCCTTTGCCGAACAGGCATTCACGCGTAAAGGAGATCTTCTCCAGGAGCTTTTTTGCATGCAGGTTCTACAGAGCAATGTTTAAGCAAGCGAATTCTGCGCATCTAAACTGACAGTAGCCAACCCATTCACGCAGAAATGCAGTGGTCCCGGCATCAATTCCAGGCGCCTCAGGAGTTCGGTGCCATTCTTTTATTCTAGACCACCAAGGGATAAGGGGTTTCCATAGTCACCAAAATGCCCATACATTATGCACATTTCGGCTGCTTTTACAGAAACCGCCCTAAATTTGCACCGTGTGCCGCTGACGACACTCTTTTCGGCCAGCATTCCACGATCAGCTGAAGCAGCTGGCCGTAAAATCTTCGAACGAACAGAGTCGGTAGCCTCAGTTTGGGTACTCTACCAGTAGGCTGGCGGTCTTCATGAAAATCTTTTCCCTGGCCTGATCAATGAGCACCTCAATGGTGTCAGGCATCTTTAGAGACAGAATGGGGGAAGGGAAATACTCCTGTGAGGATACATCCAAAGCAGTGGAGGTACGCACCTCCACATCAGCCCCACCCTCTTCTTCCTCATCTTGCGAAAAGGCAGCCACCATCAAAGCATCAGTTAGGGAGTCTGGAGGAGACAGGGGCTGTGGACGAGGTTTCCACCCCTTGCTACTAGCAGCCCCTATAATGGCCATTAACTGACCCACAAATCATGTCATAGTGGCCACAATATTCCTCCTGGCGGAGATATGAGGAAGCCCAGATGAAGCAACAGATGCATTAAAAGGAAGCAAACTCAGCTTAGGGAAATCAGGCAAACCATCCAGCACAACCTTCCCAGAGGAATGTCAGAACATGTCCCACATATGCTGAAGAGCTAGATACCCAAGTACTCCCAGTGCCCTTTCTAAGTGCCATTGTGAAGGGCCTCAATGGGTAATCAAAAATTTCTCCAAGGGTTGTACAAGGATGCCTGCTGTGGTCACTTTACCCAGTAGTCACTTCACACCTGCAGATGGAGGTGGATTAGATCCAGCTGCTGAAGCTGCCCACATAAAGATGGCAGCCACCCATGTAGAATAGATCTGCAAGTCTCACTCCCTTCCAGCCTGGGTAGAAGCAGTGTAGAGCCTCCCCCCAGCTGCTTCTGCGCTTGTGTCGGACGGCTGAGGGTGATCAAAGAAGGCAGGTGGCTGCTTACTGCAGGCATCGGCCGAGAACCCCAGATGCCTATTGATGGCCACTGCAGTGTGTGCCTGGTCCAACAGAGGCCCCCCTTTTTTTTGCTGCCAATCTGGGTGCGGTGGAGATGGGTGGCATACTACTCCCCACAAGAAATCAGAGGCATCCAAGGGGACCAGTGGGGGGATCACCTGCACAGCCTCAGGTTCGCTCTTAGTAAAGCCCACCTCCTCCAAGGTTTCATCAGACTGGGTCACACCATGCATCCATGCCACTGCCCTGAATTTGTATAGCACCCTATGGCTAACCCAACACATTGCATCAGGTGTCAAGGTGGACACCAAACATGATCCAGTGCCCAAAGCAACATTACAGGCCAGCCCCACTTCTTCAGACCAATGGGATCCAGATACAATCCCCAATACAACAGCTGTTGGTTACTGACTGGAAAGCTGCAAGGTAGCCGCCGCGGCTGGACAAAGACAGAAGAAACTGAATGAAGAAATCGGGAGGAAAAAAAAAAAGTACTACCTAAACTATCGGTCTATCTGGTGATACCTACATATTACCCAACTTCCTGTGCCCTGTACAATAAAGAAAAGGGGTTTTCTTATACTCTGTTATGGCAGTAGCAATTTTGCTGAGGGGGGGCTATTTGAAGACATTTCCAAGCAAAAATGTGTTACAAAATGAGGGAGTATTGAACTATAAAGAGATAAGAGGTGAGACTTAAATTCGGCTTTAAATATACTGGCTGCTATAAATGGTTCTGTGATGGTTGTGCAACTCCATGACTTGCATATTGAAAAGGTTGTGATATGACTTCCAAACCAACAGGATAATGAATAAACATTGAAAGTGCACATTAGATGTATATATTAATAATTTTTGGTTTTGGATCTCTTTAAATCAGATTAGGATTAACTAGGTACAACCCCCTTGTCACTTAGTAATGTTTCTTACTATTCAACAGAAAACACGATTCACCAGAAAGAAAAATAAAACTCACAAACAAATGCAAAGGTTAGGATACAGTATTCCTTAACTCTTTCCCTTAAATATGGATACAAAAAATAACATTTCACTTTTTCGCACACAAAAAAGCATATTAATGTTAAACTAAAAAAATAACACAACAGAAAATTACCAAAGGAAGGAGGGAAATGAAAACAAGATGTGGGAATATTCAATTTGACTATCAAGTCTTTAATAGGAAGAAGCTCTTAGTTTAAGAGCATTGTAAAAGTCCGGCTTTCTTGAAAATTGTATTCCAGTCCAAAAGCCAGCCGCTTGATGGTATGGAGAGGTGATTGGATCCAAGCAAGGAGTCCCTCTACATGTTCATTAATCCATTTGTTCCTGCACACAACTGGAATCCAAAAGCAAAAACCAACTAC